ACCCAATGCTAAACAGGAAAAAGGGATGACTTTCTACTCCTGTTCAAAACACTGTATAAAAACTATAAAAAATTATATTTAATGTCTTTTAGATTATAAAAATAAAGAAAAAGCAAATTAAAACAAATGTTAGGTTCCTGAATTGAATATTTTTAACAGTTTGATACTCCTTGATACTTAGGCAAACTAAAGTTGTGAGGTTCTTCGAACCAAATTGTCACCATTTTCGCCTCTTTCCTCTTCGAGAAGTATGCAGGCAGATATAGTCTTTGGTTTATTCATTTAGATTTATTTTCAGTTAAATACTCCAATAAACAACTATGTACGGGCAGTATCACGTTCAGCGAGTCGGAATGGGAAATTGCTAAGGCAATACTGGCTGAATTCGTTGCATTTATTTTCGAACAAATGCCCTTAAGAAAAAGGATTTAGTCGCTTCTCCCTCTCCCCACGTATGAATTAAATTACAGGACAGGCTGTGCCCTCTTGCCCTGAGATGGTAACCACTCCTGGAGAAGGAAAACTCTGAATTCAGTCTGAAGAAAGATAGGCTCCGTTAGGCTGTTCTTGTTCTAGACACACCTCTGCTGCTATTGCTACAGTACATGTCGAGCCTACGGTTCTAGTGACTTGACATGACGTGCCTCCAGGAAATGACGTTACCTATGAAATAACGTTTAAACTGGAATCATGAATGAATGATGCCTGTACTTAAATCCCCAATAGATATCTGCTAATCTCCAATGAAACATCAATTAATGATGCTCGCCGTTTAAGGGTTAACAATGCATTTATACATAGAACATCTCTATTTTCTCAGTATTTTACGACTAATGACAATTAGTTATTTCTTTATTGTCTTTGCAGAACGTAGCAAGTGGTGAAATATTCAAAAACTAATTCCAAGTTTAAACAAAACTGCAAACATCTATGGTTAAACTACGAACTTTTTTTCTGCTAAACGCTAATATTCTTCTTTTATGTGTCGTGCTCCTTCCAGAGGTGAACGATCATGGACCTTCACAACTTCCTGTCACTCACTGCTCGATGCAACATTTGACGCTTTACCATCCCTCTTTTATCCCAGTTTTGCAATTCATTCTCCCAAACTCGTTAGGCGGGTTATTCCTCCTTCCTCTTCTACTCCGTCTTTCAATATATCCTGCGAGTGTTTAATTTTCTAAGCCCATTCTTTGAATGTTGAGAGTTACGTATCAACTTTCCGTCACCAGCAGTCTCCCTTACCGGATGCCAGAATGTGATGATGATATATAAACGTTGCTGTAATGTTATTTCTGTGGGTAAGGAATTCTCAAGTAACACATTCTGCGCAATCTGAATTCTTCTTTTTCAATCATCTATGTACAATTTGGTTAAATAAAAGCCACTGTTAATTTATAGTAATTAAACTAGTATTTTTTTTCTTTTTGTGTTTTTTAATCTTATTTCGATTGTTTATAGTCGCAACTTTATGATCGCTGTACTGTGACTTTTGAACAAGAAGTATACGACATGGAAGTCACAATTGTAAGCAAGAAAAATCAAATGAAAGAAAAAGTAATCAAGAATTAATAATGTCAGTAATGTTGTCATAAAAGATAAGATGGATGAAAAACTAATTATTAATAATGTCAAAACTTCATCAGAGTAATTCAAATAACTGCTTCGATGTAAATTTCACTTTTGCTCACTACATAAATATTTTTTAAAAAATACTTCGATTCCTTTATAACTGTCATCTCTATTCGAGTGAAAAAAAATCGGGCTCTCTCGCCTTGGGTGGGAGGCAGTCTAAGAGAAGGAGTACTCTAAATTCAAAACCGTGAAGAAGACAACGGGAAACTATATCTATATCATTTCCTAGATATCATGGCAATCACGTAGCTGAGATTTTATATATCAGGTCATCCCATAGGTTCTGTCCGAATTTTTAATAAAGAAAACAAGTGACCAAATGTTACATTTAATTACAGATTCAATCAACAATGTATTTTCCCTGATTATCTATGACTTCCTTCCATCTATTAACAAGCTTACTAATTCCATTACTGTAAAATTCTTTTGGCTTTGATTCGAAGAACTCACAAATGTCAGTTTTAACCTCTTCCTGTGTTACAAAAGCTGTTTCTTCCAAATGATTCTGTAAGCTATGAAACAAATGGTAGTCTGAAGGAGCAAGATCGGGAGAATAAGGTGAATTAGGAATTTTCTCCCAACCAAGTTCTTCGATCTTTTGTGACGTGATTCTTGCTGTGTGGGGTCGCGCATTTTCCTGATGAAACATCACCTCTTTTCGATTCACTAGAGCAGGTCTTTTTTCCTCAAAGCTTGGTTCAAACGCTCTAATTGCTGACAGTATATTTGAGCATTAATTGTTGCATTAGGTGGTAAGAATTCAAAGTGGATTATTCCTTGGCGATCCCACCAGACTGAAAGAAGAACCTTTTACCCATGAAGTTCCCTTCTCGGCTGTGGCTGGGGTCCTTCCCCTTTACCAAGCCACTGTCTACGACACTTAACATTTCGATAAAAGATCCATTTTTCGTCGCCAGTCACAAGTCTATCCAAAAAAGGTGAAACAAGTTGGCGAGAATGGAGAGAAGAGCAGATGTCAACTCGGGATTTGAGGTTGTTTTCAGACAATTCATGAGGCACCCATTTTCCAAGTTTAGGAATTTTTCCAAGTTGTTGAAGATGACGATGAACAGTTGTATGGTTTGAACTGAGAACCACTGCCAATTCCTCAACTGATAAAGCAGGATTTTCTTCAAGGGCTGCTTCAAGAAGGTTTTCATCAAACTCAACTGGAAGTCCGGTTCGATCTTCATCTTCAAGGGTGAAATCTCCACCTCTGAATTTTGCAAACCATCTTCGGCAAGTTCTTTTACTCACACATTCCTCTCCATAAATTGAGTGAATGTTTCTAGCGGCTTCAGGTGCTGAGTTTTCTTTCTTGAACTCATAAAGCATTATGTGCCTCAAATGATTATTGGGTACTTCCAAGTTAGCAGGGTTTTAATCAAACAAAATTTAATTTTATTGTTCTCTGAACTAAAATTTGATCAGTTTAAATGCATCTAAACATAAAAATAATGTTCAGCTCCATTAGACATAAAATACTCTTTAAATTTCATTCATTTTAACAAAAAGTTAAAATTCGGACAGAACTTATGGGATGACCTGATATATATATATATATATATATATATATATATATATATATATATATATATATGCAGGGTGCGATGGATAAATTGTCGTCTAGATTACGAAAAAATATCATTGACATCTCAGATATATTTACCAAAATTACACAAACGTATCTGGAAATACTAAAGCGTAAATTTATTCGATAAAATGGCCATTGGCTCCAACCACAGACGCCAGAAGACTTTGGAATCTCCTACATCTCTTCTTGTTTAAGTTTTTGAATGCTGCCATAATCCTTGTCTTCAGTTCATCTTTGGAGCTTTGTTGGTGTGTGTGTGTGTGTGTGTGTGTGTAAGAGAGATAAAAATCGGCTACAGTTGCACCAAGTACATGTTAAAATAATAAAAACACACAACAACAACAAAAAAAATAACCAACAAGCTATAAGTAAAAATCAAATCTTCGCTTAGTTTCTGAAAAGATTCTTTCGATAATCTGATCATCATTCGGATTTCTTTCACATATACCGTCACCATTTATGGCAATAAAATTCAAATTTTACAATGTCTTAATACTTTTCTTAGTTTCTGAAAGGCGTCATTAACAATTCCAATATGCCTTCGGATTTATGTGTTACATTGTCCATCATCTATGTGAACCCATCCTAGATATTTAAACTTATGTACTTGCCTGGTTTTGAAGTGTCTAATCAACAGTTTGCAGCTTTTTCTCTTTCTGGCGATTATACATTAAGTTTTCTTAATGATTAGTATTAATTTTAGCATTATTAGTGATAATCAGAAATTAATTGCAATTCCTAGAGCACATAATGAGGAAAAAGGGCTTAGAAAGTTTGACACTGAGATATCATATTAAAGGCAAGAGGGACTGAGGAAAGCAATAACCTACCTAAGGAGCATATATGAATGATTGGCAGAATAGGGCTTAGTTGAGATAGCGAAAAGACAAAATTTACTAAAACCTATAAAAGACAGGAAATTGTTGAGAGCCATGATCGCCCACGCCCAAAGAAAAAGAAGCCTACAAAAATTGACATTTTAAGACAACAGAAACGAACGCTACATTATTTTATTTACTAAGTAAGATGTAAAAACTCGATTTTTAAGTAGAGTTATTTAACTTTTATGAGAGGATCCTAAGATATATAGATGCAGTGATGCAAAAAGATTTCTCGGCGTCTGGAGGTGAATACAATTTTGGCGTCCTCATCTGGGTTACCCCTGAAATGTTTTGTGACTAATTACCAATTGAATAACAATAAGAAAGAACCAATTACCCCTTTAAATAGTTTAAAAATAAAATCTCAATATGATAATTGTAAAACTGGGCCTAAGAGAATTAGACCTATATATTAAATATACTTATATATTAAATATACTTATATATTAAATATACTTATATATTAAATATACTTACATAATTTGCAAATCGTTTTGAAATTCATGTAGTCCTGTTATTTTTCAGTCTAACAGCTAGAGTGAATCAACGCCATACTTTGGAACACACTTGGGAAGCTGCTCATTTGTGGTAGAATACATGGTTTTTGAAAGAGTTTGATTGGTTGATTGATTGATTCGTTTTTACGGCTTATCAACCCTTTGCAGGTTATTCTATTTAAAGTCAGAAAATATTTTTAAATTGTAAATTTCTTTGAGATAATAAAGATTTATTGATGTAAGTCGTACTAATTAACCCATAGCTGAGTGGAGAAGAGGTGGATTCATCCCTTTTGTGGATAAGTAAATATAACGAACCCAAGTGGAATTTGAACTCGACTCTCCGATTAACTATTCCGAGGCATTGTCCATAGCATCATTACTCACCCAAGTTTACAACACCTGGTATTCCCAAGCGGTCAACCATCTAGGTACTGACCAAGCTTGAAGTTGCTTAACTAAATGATCGTACGGGAACTCGTGTTTCGATATGATATAGTCATAGATTATGAAACAGAGAGAAAAAATACGAAGCCCAGCAAAGTATTAAGAAATAGAAAAATATTCTTAAAAATAAAGAAAACAGTGCTGGACTGCTATGTAATATCTAATTTCCTATATGGTAGAGAATCTTGAACAATCACCTCACAGATTAAGAAAAGACTCGGAAACTCAAAGACGTGGTTCTCCTAACTAATACTGGGTTTTAAGGAAATATGAACCACAGAAAAACATATACGTGCAATCAGAACGAGACATCTGAGATTTCTAGGAAAATATAATGAAAAATGAGAGCCTGGAGAATTTAACACTCACAAGGCAAGAGAATCTCTGAGAAACAGCGAGTAAGTTACTTAATAATTTTCTGTTAATGGAAAGCAGAACAAAGACAAAGTAAGATGGTAAACTAACAAAAGTTACTTAGAACTACAAAAGACAGGAAGTTAAGGAGAGTCATGATCGCCGCCGTCCTGAACGGGTATGACGCATAAAAAAAGAATGACGCTCGATATAGTATATAGAGGATTTGGTAAAAGAGAGAATTTAGAGAAACAAATAACACACACGCACACACATCAAGAGGACGTATAAATATCGATACGCCATTGACTTTTCAAGATATTTTCCAATTTCTTTTTTTTTTTTTTTTAGGGAGAGTGAGATTTTTCGAATTAGGACTATGCGAAATTCAGAAGGCAGAATTTTATGTGGACTGGTTGTCAAAGAGTCAATCGAGAACCAGAGTTTCCCTCCAAGGAATTAGTGCTTCGTCCTTTGCAGATGAATTGATGCTAGACATGCAGAGTGATCAGCCAATTTCTAATCAAGCTAATATGCTCGGAGGAGGCGTTCAAAATAATCATCAAAGACAAGCTCGTCTAACTCATCTCTGAGACCGTAAAATAGGTCCTGTCATTCGTTCTACTCTTTCTCTATCTCTCTCACTCTCAATCCCTGTCTACTTCTTTGTCTTTCTCTCCTTGCCCCACATTCTCCAAACCACGTCTCACACTCACAACATAGATGAGTTTATGCGTATGGGACATGGGCCCTGAATTTAGCAGCAAATCTAATGGAATCATGGAAACACAAATATAAACAGGCGTGGATATGAAGGAAAATACGTATATATATTGGTGAGTGTATGAATGTCTGTGTTGCATAAGTAGAAATAAGTTTTGCCAATATATATCCAAAATATATATATATATATATATATATATATATATATATATATATATTTGTGGTGTCGTTATTGGAGATAATGTTATAATTTATGCCTTGTACAAAATTTAGTTATCTTAAAACACTTAAATAACACTAACTTATTAAACACCTTTAAAGACATTTCCCTTTTACAGTTTTTTTTTATGGTTACTAGGTTCGTTTATTTTTATATAAGAAATTTGTTGTTTTTTAACAAATATTTTAAAAAAAAAATATTATTTAAAAAAAGAAAAAGAAGCAAAAAACAATATAAAAACTGTAATCTTCCTTTATGTTTAATATAAAAGAATATTCATAACTTTAAATAAAAATTAATTTATATTTTTTATTTATTTTATATATATAAAATGAAAATCCCGTCTATTTTAAATGTAACATACATGTAAATTTTTAAAATAAAAAAATGTAATCACTATATAATATATGAACTGCACCAGCATTGCATTAACAAAGACATTTTTATTAAAATTTAAATTATGTAACGGTCAGCCCTACCCAGCACTGTGCATGAAACACAGAACCGTGCTACCGTCGGGGGTTAATATATATATATATATATATATATATATATATTTAAAAATTATAACATAAATATGTTATAAAATCACTACAAAAATAGCCATTTTGTTTCAACACCTCTGGTGTCTTATCAAGTGATGATGTTGCACGTAGATTGTAGAATAAAAGTTTTAAAAGGTTCAAATTTGATTGTAGAATAAAGGTTTTAAAAGGATCAAATTTGAACCATTTAAAATCTTTATTCTACAATCTACATTCAACACACACACACAAACACACACACACACACACACATACATATACATATATATATATATATATATATATATATATATATATATATATATATATATATATATATATATATTAACAAAAGCCGCCCTATCGGGCGGCGTTTCTCCTTAAAACGTTGTAATTTTCCAAAATGTGTTCAGCACGTTTATCTTTGTAAAGTATTTGGACATAGTGGAACGTGAAAAATGTTGTAAATTTCATAAACAGTAGGCCACCTTGTGGTATTTAATCTATTACAATTATTTTTTTTTTACTAATTGATTACCATAAGCCATGAACCACTCACTGATTGATTGATTTTTTACGGTTTATCAACCTTTTGCAGATTATTTAAAAACAGAAAAAAAATTTAAGTTGTAAGAATTTTTGGGAGATAATAATGATTTACTGATACAAGTCCTACTAATTAACCCATAGCTTCGGGAGAAGAGATGGATTCATACCTTTCGCCAGGGAGATTTGCGCATAAGTGAATATAACGAACACGACTGGAACTCAGAACTCCGATTTACAATCCCTAGCCTTTATCCATTATACAACACGCACATCTAAACTTACAGCACTTGGTATTCTCAAGCGATCACCCATCGAGTTACTGATCAGTCTCAACCTTGCTTAACTTCGATGATTGTATGGGGACTGGGTTTTCAACGTGATATTAGCAACGTAAGATCTGAATCACATCAAGGTAGAGTTTAACTAATGAGATTTTTGTATAAACCTAAGAGAAGGGAGCAACATTTACAGATTATGAGCATATGCAGTAAAGATATCTGTTGACCCTAAACACGAAGAGTTTACGATTATGGTGTTCAAGGAAGCATCCAATCGTGAGTTTGTACCACAAATTAGCTATTCTTGGAAATAAGTTGTCTTAACGAAGCTTCTTTCTTATTAATGGAAAACAAACGGAATGAGGATGTTTTGTCCCAATGTACGTAGCATAGTGAGTGTTAGATGTGAGGTCAGAACTTGTGGAAGTAAGGAATGTAGTTCATCAGAACATTTGCCATAGAAATAGCAATAGAATGGCGAAAGGCTTGCGACGTTCGTCTGTGGGAAACATAAATATTTCCGTGCATTTCTTCCTTAGTTCTAAAACGTATGAAAAAATAATTTATATGGGACACTATGTATTTCTGATTATACGCCTTAAATGCATTGTTGTTATTAATTTATTTATTTATTTTTGGTTTTTGGCGGGAAGGAGTCATACGAACTAATACACTCATTGCTATATCCCATTGCCAGATATTTCAAGAAAATATTTTCTTGCTGACAACGGAGAATTTTTTTTTTTTTTTTGCAAATACATATTGCATTAACAAGTTTTATCTTGTTTTTGTATACATAACTTACTAATTAATCTATAGCTGTAGAAAAGGAAATGAATGCATAGCTTTCTCAAGAGTATTTGCGCGTAAGTGAATGCGATGAACCCAAGTGGAATTCAAACAATATTATTAATTACTTTCTTGATTTACAGAAAAAATAGAGTTACCTCCCTTGATTATTCTATTGTCCCTCTTTGTTTATTTGCTTTTTTAACATCAGCGTCTCTCTAAGTTAGAATTTATATTTCTTATTTCCGACCTTACTTTCAAATTTAAATGTTAATCTGGGGCTAAGTTCAAATTCAAAATTAAACTACAATTCATTTAAATATTTTAACAACTGTAATATTACACCCACCCAATAAAGTATCTCGCAAGAAGCAAAATTAAAAAAAAACAAAAAAACAAGGCAACCCAAAATAAAAATAATAATTCCATCATTAGATAATTGCGTCGACATGAAACTCGGAGTTGTGCAATTAATATAAGGTATTATGTATAGTTCTTAATAGATAGATATATTTGAACAGACTGAAATACATGGATATGAGCATGTCTAGATAGATAGATAGATAGATAGATAGATAGATAGATAGATAGATAGATAGATTTAAACAGTCAAAATAGAGGTTTATGAGCAAAGATAATCAAACATCGGATTAATTTTTTATTATTATTTTTTCTTGAGAATACAATCGACGGAATATGTAAATAACGAGGAATTTTTAAGGAAAATAGGAAGAAAAGAACGCTCTTACTTAGAATCGGAAAACTAGTTTAGAAATTACTGGTCCCTTCAGGATATATGTTATCATGGCTCTCAAGAACTTCCTATCTCATTTGCCTCACAGCAGTTTAACTCCCTTTGCTAATACTCCCACAGCCATTCTGCTATCCATTCACGCAGAGCTCACTGCTTTCCCCTATCTCTCTTGACTTCAATATGCTCCTTGAGGATTAAATTTTAAGGAATTTCAGCTGTCTTTTCCTGATTTTGAATATTCAGTTGCCATTTTCTTTAAGACTTCCTTGTTGCACATTCGCTCCGCTCTTGGAATTTTCAGTATTCTTCTGTAGAAGCACATTTCTGCTGCCTCTAGTTTTCCTCTCACCCGTGGGGAGATTGTCCAATATTCAGTGCTATATAAGAGGATGGATATAACAGAGCAATCCAGAACTCTTTTCTTTGTTTCTAATGAAATTGTTCCGTTTCTCAGCACCTTGCTTAGGTTTTGCAATGCTTCTTTACTGGGGCATGTAACAAACAAAAGATCTTGTAGAATTTATCATTCACATGACATTGTATATAAAGAAGCCGCGGGTAAAACAGCGATAAACCTCTTGAATACTGGACAGTTTCTTCATAGGAGAACTGAGCCAACAGAGACGTCGTTCTACAGAAGGATGCTGAGAATGCCATAGATGGAAGTTTTGAGAAAAATAGTAACAAAAAGAACACTTGTATTTAAAATCATAAAGAGACATTTGAAACTTCTGGGACATATGACGAGAAAAGAAGGTTTGGTGACATTAACATTCACAGAGCATATTGAAGTCAAGAGAAACAGGGGGGAAATAACGGTAAACATTCTATATGTCAGTGATTGCTAAACAATTTCCTCACAGATGAGGAAGCGGCTTGTGGCAACAGAGATACGGTTCTATAGAAACAGACTGAAAATACCATGGACATAACACGCGAGCAACTAGGAAGTTTGAAGGATAATGGAACCAAAAAGACACTTATACTTAGAATAAGAAAGAGACAGTAGAAATGTCTAGAACAGATAATGAAGAATGCTTGGTGAATATGATACCCACAGGACGCAGTGAATATAATAGGGCAGATGGAACCGGAAAGTAACCTACCTGCCGAGCTGGTGCAAATGGATCGCAGAACAGTTGGAAGGAGAGTAAGGTTAGAGATATTACCTTGAGCCACAAACAATAGAAAGTTGTGGGACGCTATGATCATCTAATATACTAAAGGGCTATGGCACATCAAAGAAGAGGAAAGGTTAAACTATGTGACAACATATATGTAATTCTATTAAACTGTGGGCTTAATATCTAGGAGAGTATATATATCTTTTATATATATATATATATATATATATATATACCAAATCGTGTAACAGCAAAATTATCCAATTGTTAGATTAAGCTTTGAACCGTTGTATCTTAGAAATGATTAAAGATATCTTACTGGATTTCTCCGAGGTTTTTATAAGACTATTGGGCTCTACAATAAGAATGTATTTAGTTCTAAGTCGAAATCACAATCCCTCTTGATCTTGTGACCTCCTGATCTACTTTTCCTCTCTACTGTTCCCTCTTTTTTAAATATATTCACTGTTCTCTTGATTGTTCTTGAATGGACTTTGAAGATGGAAGCCAGTGTGTGAATACTGGTGCCATTACTGAAGGCCTGAATGATATTTTTCCTCTCACCATTGCTCAGTTGGGAAGACATAGTGAGACTGACACAAAACGATTTTAACTTGTTTTCTTTCTAGCTGAATAACTCAAGCGGTTTTTCAGTGATCTTTACGACAAATGTTTTCCTTCCTACTCTTTTTTAAAACTTATTCACCGTGGTCTTGATGGTTCTTGAATAGACTTTGAAGATGGGGGCCAGAGTATGAATGTTGATACCATTACTGAAGGTTTTAATGGCCGTTTTCTTCTCACCATTGCTCAGTTGTGAAGACCTAGTCAGGCTGACACAAAACGATTTTAACCTGTTCTCTTTCTAGATGAATAACTCAAACGATTTTTTCAGTGATACTTATGACAAATGGAAACCTAGAAAAAAGAAACTGAATTAGTTTATTGTTTGATATTAAACATTTTATTAGATGGACAATTATCCCATGCTGTTACACGATTTTGTCAATTTGAGTGTTTCAGCCGGTGTGAGTGGGGGGGTCTAATTCTCGCTTCTCCCTGGATGACAAAAAATTGTCCAAACTGGAGGGAAATTATATAAAAAACTTAAACATAGAATCTTCGTTCTTCTCCAATCAAAGTGATATATATATATATATATATATATATATATATATATATATATATATATATATATTATAAATTAATTGATTTAAAATATTTTTTTCGCTACACAGTTCCAACCATGTTTCAAAAATAGAAGCTAAAAACCCCGAATTTTTGTAAAAATAAAAATATCTATAAGAACACCGGATTTTATATCTTACTGTTCTTTCTTTTTATTTATATACATATATATATATATATTTATTCAGTTGCTTAAGATCGTCCTGATACACAGAAAATGATATATCATGTTCTCTCATATATATATATATATATATATATATATATGAAAAATTTCTCAGAGTTAACCTGTAGAAAAAGACAATATTTATAAATGTAAAAGACAATAGGAAAACTGTAATAGTTGCCGACACGTTTCGTCCGATGTGGACTTTTTCAAGGCAAAACGAAATTAATTTATTAAACGAAGCAACTAATAACAAAACAAAATGTCCTTAGCAACTGGAAGAATTTAGAGAACGCTATCTTGATACTGTTAACTGAAATTACATCATTTATTGTCACGTGTGGTGATATTTTTTACTGTTAACTTTTTTATTTTTAACAGTGAGAAATTTATTTATTGAAAAAAAAGTTTGAACAAAGTAACTATAAACAATTTATTTTCTATCTTCTGCCAGCCACAATGATGTAGAAAGTTGGACTCACTATTAATATATCCACAAAATGCTAATTTAACAGATCTTCTCTACCAACTTAACAACGTTGAACCTACAATAAATTTCACTTTTGAAACTGAAACCAACTACACTCTTCTGTTCCAAGACATCATATTACATAGAAATAATAACGAACTCAATTTTGACGTTTACAGAAAGGCTACAAACAAAAAATGTTCAGTTTCTACTCAAACCACTCTTCTAAAATTAAATCTGGAATTATTATAGGTTTCTATCTAAGAGCATTAAGAATCTGTAGTCCCCAATATTTACTTAAAGAAGAAACATACATAGAAAACACATACAAAAACCTACAATACCCATATCATTTCATCCACAACGCAAGAAGAAAGGTATACAAAATATACAAACGAAACAAAAATAATAACATAATCCGCAATAATAAATTACATAAAAACAGATGCATAATACAACTTACCGTCCACTATCCTGAACAACCTATCCCATCTAAATAATCTTAAAATAGTCACAAACACTTCCAAAACCATTATGGAAATACTCACATCCTCAAACACTAATAGCAATAATATTTCTGAAGCAGGCATTTATAAAATAAATTACCAAAGTTTTCCTCCCAATATATTTGAGAAATAAGTAGAAATTTAAAAAAAACGCATTTATAAACACAAAAGAGACCTCACAAAAAAGAACTTAGCTAATGCACTAGTCATACATAGAAATAAATTCAACCACAATTTTGATTTGAAAAATGCTACACTCATAAAAAAAGAACATAACCCACTCAGAAGGAAAATTCTAGAGAGTGCCGCCATTGAATATTACCCAAATATTTATCTACGCCCAGGCTTTTTCCCTATTTCACCTTTCTTAACAGAATTACTTCTCTCCTAAATACACATACAGAACAGTATCAAGAAATCAAAAGAAAATTGTTGAAAATTGTTGAATCCGTCAATATAGCAATAAAAACAATATCTCCATACGTGACAGTAAATGATGTAATTTCAGTTAACAGTATGAAAATAGCGTTTTCTAAATTCTTCCAGTTGCTAAGGACATTTTGTTTTGTTAATATTAGTTGCTTCGTTTAATAAATTAATTTCGTCTTGCTTTGAGAAAGTTCACATCGGACGAAACACGTCGGCAACTATTACAGTTTTCCTATTGTCTTTTACATTTAAAAATCAGATCAGTTGAATTCGCTTGAGTCAACTGATCTCCTGATTTTTAAGTTAAAAGCTCTACATGTTATTTTTACTTTTACTTTTATTTTATTTTTTCGCACGTGTATTGAGCACTTTAATATAACTACTTCCTGTTCTCATTCTCATTATATATATATATATATATATATATATATATATATATATATATATATGTTTCAAAGCAATAAAATATTAAAAAAATAAAATTTTCAGACACACTGGGTTGTATATTAATATCGTTTTGTTTTTATTATTATTTCAGTTAGATTCCTTGACTAGTTTCATCAGGAGAAAAAAAATTCTGCTTGCTAGTAGCAATTAACTACAGAAATGAATGTCTTGATGGAGAAAATGAACTTTTGACTGTAGTTTTCATTTGTTTTTTTTTTATTTTTTATAATGAATGTTGGTCAGTCCTTGTGTTGGTCAAACAGTCTCTTTTAAGTTGTTATTTGAGATAAGAGCTGGATGGATTCATGCTACTCTAAATTCCCTTGGTCATTTTTACAGTTTTATTGGTTCCTGGAATGGGGACATGTCTCTGTTAAGTGTGTGTGTGTTGTTTGGTTCTTAGGGAGTAAATGAGTATGATGTGTGTATATTCGTGTGGGTGTGTGTATAAGTGTGAGGCCTCAATACTTCCTCATGCATGTCTGTCTTGTGTGCGTGAGAAATGATATATATATATATATATATATATATATATATATATATATATATCAAAGTTGTTTCTCTGATGGAAAAAAAGGAAAGACGTTATATATACACATATATACACATATATGTATGTGTGTGCGTCCGTCTGTGTGTGTAATGTGAGAGTAAGTGTTTTTCGCTGTGTACAAAAGATTCCAACAATTTTTTTTAAAAAGAAAAGATTTTTTAAAATGTAAATGGTTTTCTACTGTATATTCCGTGCCTAGTTTTAAAAAATGATACTGGAAACTTTTGCAAACAATAAATATATATTTAATTAATACATATATGTGTACGCGCCCGCGTGTGTAATTGTGTTTGAGGCTTCATTTGAATAAAAAAAAAAAAGGTAATGAACCTCTGTTCCGCTACGATTTTTTATAGTAAAACATAACAAATGAAGCAAACATTTAGATATCGCTTTATTATAAAAAAATGTCTGTTATTCAAGACTGATGTTTTATGTCAACTCTGCTCATCCGTATATTTTTAATAATTAGATAGCATGGAAATGGCTTTGCTGGCTGAGTGGCCAGGCTGTTTATTGATTTTGGATGGCATTTAATGAGTGGAATTTGGGAGTTATTGACGCTGTTGGTGACAGAAAGTTGGGAGGAAAGGGCCATAAGCTGATTGGGTGATTGCGTGGGAATGAACATGAAATGGGATAAGAAAGAAAGAAAGAAAGAAAGAAAGAAAGAAAGAAAGAAAGAAAGAAAGAATATAAAAGGAAATAAAACAGAAAGAATGCAGAAGCAAATAAGAAAGAAAGAAAGAAAGAAAAATAAAAGGAAATAAAACAGAAAGAATGCAGAAGCAAATAAGAAAGAAAGAAAGAAAGAAAGAAAGAAAGAAAAGAAAAGAAAACAGAAAGAATGCAGAAGCAAATAAAAAAGAAAGAAAGAAAGAAAGAAAGAAAGAAAGAAAAGAAAAGAAAACAGAAAGAATGCAGAAGCAAATAAAAAAGAAAGAAAGAAAGAAAGAATTAATACTTAAACAAATAAGGCAGACAGAAAGAATACAAAATCCCATAATACGAAAGAAAGAATTATAATAGCAAAAAAATATATTGTTAAAAATGAAGGCAAAAAAGAAATAAAAAAAATGTAAAATGTGAAAAAAAAGGATAATAAAGGCAACAAATCCAGAAATGATGTAATATAAAGGGAGAAGAAAACACAGTCTAGAAAGAAAAAATGAAAGTTTAAAAAAATTCAAAAGCAATGGCGATGGAAGGAAAAGGAAAAGAGATAAAAAAATAAATAAACAAAAAATAACACAGAAGACATGAGACCATGGGAAACCGGGAAAAAAAGTGGAAAAATAAACAATGCAACGGGAAAAAAAGAACCAGGAACTAAAAAAAGAAGCGAAACATTTGAGAAATAAAGTTGAAACGAACCGAAAACAATAAAATAAAGGTAAGAAGCCGGAAAACAAAGTCTTGGGATAAAACACAAACGATTAAATCCATAAAACCAAATAATTAATTAGTTAAGCAGAAATAAAGGAGAAGAGATACAGCCAAGAAAGAAAAGCAAAAAAACAAAAATGATGAAAGAGGGAGAAAAGAAGTGAAGAAAAAAAAAACGAATACTTATATAAAGAATGGAAAGAAAGAAAAAAGGTGACAAAGACAGAAAAAGTACATCAGAAAGATAGAAAAAAGAAAAGAGATAAATGACAAATACAAACAAAATACGATAGTTAAAAGGAGTAAAAATGGAAAAAAGAAAACGTGGGTGGGGGAGAAACTAAATATTAAAATGGAGAAAGGAATATCCATACTTTATACAGAAAGATAAAAAGGAAAAGAGAACGTACAAAAATGGCGAAGCGAAAAACAAGTGATAAAATCACGAAAAAAAAATAGAAAAGAAACATTCGCTGGGAAAACTGTAAAAGAGACAAGAAGAACGAAAACAACTGTGAAAAAATATGCTAAGAATAATATGGAAAAACAAAATGTTGCAAAGAGATATTTTAAGAAAAATAAATGGAAAAAAAAGCAGAAATGATGAATAAAAGAGAAAGAGAGCTAAACGAGACATATAAACGAGAAAAAGTGAGAGAAAGAAAAGAGTGATAGAATCAATTATAAAAAAGAAAGCAATTAAATAAAAATAAAAACAAGAAAGGGAATAAGAGATTAGCGAAATGAAACTAAAAGGAAGCTCCAAACAAGTCCAAGATGAAAGGTAAAAGAAAAAAAAAAGATTTGAAGAGATTGAATAGAAAAAGAAAGATGCAGCCGATAAAAATTAGCGGGAAGAAATAATGAAATGAAAATGAAAGGATTGGGAACAAGACGGAAAATGTTAGAGGGTCAGAAGTATATAAGAAAAGGTTAAAAGAAGGAAAGATATAAAAAGATGGACGACATTTTTTAAGCATATCACCCCAAGCAAGACGGGAGTGCCACTAGCACGCAAGGGGTTACAGAGAGTGAGAACAAGAGTAAAGAGGGATGTTTGAGGAAAGGATAAAGAGAAGGAAGGGTATCAAGATCAAGAACAAAGCATCAGAAGATATCGATCGACATTACATTTGAATATTTGAAGATTATAGCTATCAGGGGAGCAAGTAAGAGGAAAGGTGATCCACTGTCGGGAAGTGCGAGATAAGAAGTTGTTGGAGTAGAAGAGACGGCTACATATAACCGTTTCGACAGTGAAAAGCTGGGACCGAGATGCCAACCAAGTAGCACGCTTAAATTCATGCAGTTGGGGCACCAGAGAAAATAGCTCGTCAGTGCAAAGACAGAGGGAAGCCACATCAAGTCTGTGAGGAAGTGACTGGAGTTGAGATGCCAGGTCACGACCTATCACACTGCATATCCGTCTCTGGATTTTGTCAAGATGAACAGCAGGAGCACCAGACCAGATATGGTAGCAGTATTCAGTGCAAGGACGAATGGTTGATTTGTAGATTTGAAGGATGGACTCTAGTGAGAAAAACCTTCTGGCGCGAAACAGAGAGCCAACTTTCTTTGCAATAGATGAAGCTAGTCATTCAACGTAATTGTTTCACCTCAGGTCAGCAAAAAGTGTGAGACCAAGCAGGCGCAGAGAGGAGTTGAGCATCAGCAATTTTGATGGGAGTGGAATAAAGTATAATAATGTGGCAGAAATGAAAGATAAAATGGAAGACAGTATTTACATTAGTCGGACTATTGTCCTCATCTTTGTCGCCATCTTTGTCGCCATATTTGTCACAACGTTTCGGCCGTTGTACGCTCCGGCCTTCTTCAGGTGGAATTTCGAACTGAACCCTTTATTTCGATCACTGGGGTAGACTGTTCTAGTTCCACGTCTAGTGCCATGTTTGATGGCTGTCAGTTATCTCCTGCTAATTTTCCCTCTGAAAGTTCCCCACTGCCTTAACCAGGACTTGAACTCACCTTCTTTGGGTCTGTCACTGAATCTAACCAACGACTTTATCCACTGTGCCATGTGTCCTTGAAGACATCTGGGTATGAACTTCTGAGTATTATAAACCTAATGTTTTCAGCATCATTTTTACCAGAGCTCATATTGCAATTTTTGCTGTTATCATTGCATGTCTTTACCAGAGTTCATATTGCAACTTTGTTATCAATAGCTGCAGAAGTGTGAAAAATTTAAATCTGCATGGCACTTTACTCCAATTGACTTATTCGCTTGCTTAAACTCAACGTTGATTCTGATTCCGCATAACTAGGTTGGGTGTGAAAAAGTATTTGTTGTTAACATTTTTTTTCATTCGGTTTTTCCAGTTATGAGTCCTTTTTTAAAGCTGATCGTTTTGTGTTCATTTTGTTTAGTTCTTTTTTCGTAACAGATTTAATGTTTATTACAGAGCTTAGAAAAAATTCGCAGTGTGAGATAGGCAAGAAGTAAGGCATTTATCAACATCAGCACGGAAAAGGGCACTCCTTTAAAGGCAAGGAAGGGCAAAAATATTTTAAGTCAAGTGATAGCGATTGCTGTATGTCGTACGATTTTTGAATCAAGCGCGGGCAACACCGGGACATGCTGCTAGTATATAATATAAAGAAGATTGAAATGAAAAATAAAATTAAATAAAAGACAAGAAAAAGATGAAAAGAAAAAATATATGAAAATGAAAAAAAAAAAACAAAGGAGTAAATAAAAGAAAAATGAAAGAAGTAACGCGAGCAAAGAGATAAAAAGGTGATCCTAGAAAAAAGAAAGAACAATATTAGAACGGCAAATAAAAAAAAGAAAGCATACAAAACAAAAAGAACGAAAGAATGAAAGAATGAATGATTGAAAGAATGAAAAAATAAATGATTGAAAGAATGAAAGAATGAATGATTGAAAGTATGAAAGAATAAATGATTGAAAGAATAAAAGAATGAATGATTGAAAGAATGAAAGAATAAATGATTGAAAGAATGAAAGAATGAATGATTGAAAGAATAAAAGAATGAATGATTGAAAGAATGAAAGAATAAATGATTGAAAGAATGAAAGAATGAAGAAGAAAACAAAAACAAAACGGCGAATAAAGAATAACGAATACAAAATAAAACAAAAAAAGAACAAAACATAGAAAGAAAATGAAAGTATAAAATAATAATGAAAAAAGAATAAAAGAAACATAAAGGGAGGAAGAAAAGAAAATTAAGAAAAAGTTAAATAAAAAAGAAAAATATAAAAAAGAAAACAAAATATCGTCAGCAAAAAGATAAAAAGAGACAATTTGAAAAAGAAAGAAAGAATTCAAAAACAAATAAAAAGAAACAAAGAGCATGAACAGAATAATAAAAAGGGTGGTCAAAGAAAGAAAGAGAAAAGTGATAGACTTGCAAAAGAGAACAGAAAGAATAACAATCTAGTAAAAGAAATAAAAACTGAAAAACAAGAAAAGAAGAAAAAAAAAGTGGAACTGATGACGTGCCAGAGTCGGGGATAGAAACAATGAAAAGAAGATAGAGACAAAACGTGAAGCGAATCTGTAAAGGAGGAAATGCAGTCTGTGTATGGTACCTTTGTAAACGCGCATTCTACATTCTCAGGAGAAAAAATGAGACGAGGCTCAGCTTTCGACATTGACCCCTGACTTTGGTTGCCTCATCAGCAAATGGGAAAATAAAAACGTCTGTCGATCTTATTTGCTCACTGAGATCGGCACAGTGACTTTATACATGCCAACAAACCAATATATATATATATATATATATATATATATATATATATATATATATATATATATATATATATATATATATATATATATATATATATATATATATATATATATATATATATATATTCTTTAAAATTTGCTATATTAATTATATTAATTATTGCTCAGTATCGGGATAAAGCTAGAGAGTTTATAAATATAAACAGTGTAGACATAATAATCAACACTGCAAGTTGACTATCGGTTTTGCGCCATAAACGATCATCAAATGCTCTTATGATCGCTTAAGATATGACACGCACAGTCACTGTTCAATGTTGATCACTCTGTCCACAATATATATATATATATATATATATATATATATATATATATATATATATATATATATTATTATTATTATTAAACAGAACGGACAAAGAGTGCGTGTTATACCTTGTTAAACGTGCTGTAGAATAATTAAGTCGTTTGATATCGGGTGTAAACTTTCATGACTTTAATAATTGCGTCAAAGTCAAAGTGTATATAAGGAGACAATATTCTTTACAAATTTCCACCCGTGATCAAAGGACATATTTGACGCCATCAGAAACTCACCAAAATTCTTAAGAGACATTGTTCGTTGCGTTTAATCAAACATGTTTCAACGAAGGACTTCTGCTTAAATATACCATGTTCAATATGTCTAGATATTTCCCTTCTTTTTACATGATCATTACTATGTGCTTCGTTTAAAGTTAAACAGAAATAGAAAGGACCGTAAGACAAGGATGTATCTTCTCACCAGACCCATTCAACTTTTACATTGAAGCAGTCCTGAGAGAATTAGAAGTCCTATTATGATTCATTATTTTAACAATATTAGTTGTGGAGATAACACAGAACTGATAGCAAACACAGAAAGTAAACTGTAGGTCCTACATAAGATAGTAAAGAACAGCGAGAAGAAAGTACTAACCAAGAATTGTAAGAATAGAAAACCTATGGTTGCCAGCAGAAGAAACAGCCTAACATTCGAATTACAAATTAAAGATAACAAAATCAAACAAGTAGAATTTCAATACCTGCGATATATTTTAAGAGAGGACATAAAATTCGACACCAAAATCCGAAGAGTAAAACGTTTGATGTCGAGTGGAAACTTCCAAGCCATTACAAATTTCCACCTGAGATTAAGAACACATTTAACATAGAGAGAAATTCACTAAAAGGCTTAAGCAAAATTCCTTGTTCATTCTGTTTAATAAACCATGTTTCAACGAAAGACTGTCGTTTAACTATATCATGTTCAATATATCCAGATATTTGCCTTTTCTTTATATGATCAATATATCTAGATATTTGCCTTTTCTTTATATGTTCAATATATCTAGATATTTGCCTTTTCTTTATATGATCAATATATCTAGATATTTGCCTTTTCTTTATATGATCATTACTATTGGCTCCGGTTAAGTTTGACTTTGTGTCTAACACAGTATTTCTCAACGTGGTCCAGGTGGATCACCGGTGGTCCATATAGCATTTCTAGTGGTCCACAGAGAAATTATGAGACAGGAGATGAACATTTTGAGTCGGCTGAAATGTTGCTGGACTTTAAAGAGAATGCAAAACCAAAAAGAAGAGTCAACAAAGAAGGTGTCTTTGCTTACATATCGATAAAGGACTCACACCTAAATATTTTTCAACATGTAAAAGCAAGCATCATTTCTTTCCCTACCGCATGGATGGTGGAATCTGGATTTTCGGGTGCTGTGGATGTTTTCAATAGAAAAAGAAATAAATTAGATCTCAACAGAAGAAGAACTATCAGAGTAAGACTGAATGATACCATCAAAATTGATTATATCTTGTCAGATCAAGGTAGTCACTAGCTGGATGAACTAAGACTGAATGGCATTAAAATTGATTTTGATATCCTGTGTTTATGATTGTTTACTAAAATAAATTTTAAAGTATAAATAAACTACTTCGTCTTTTCATTGAGTATTTTAGTGTGAAAATGGAACAGCCTAAAAGTAAAAGTAGGAGTGGTCCATTTGAATTTTTTGAAAATAAAAATGATCCATGGGCCGAAAAAGGTTGAGAAGCACTGGTCTAACACAATTTTGATATTTTATGGTTAAAATTGGTGAGTGTGGATAGAGTCAGAGAATATCATTGGCTGAATATCATGGACATTTACATTTAGAATCAGTACGGTGGAATAATGGATAGCGGATCGGATTAAGGTAATCGGAGGGCCGAGTTCAAATTCCAGTCGAATCCATTACATTCACTTAGGTGTTATAACCTTGGAAAAGATATGAATCCTCTTCTTTCCCCCCCCAGCTATGGATAAATAGCAGTACAGACCTGGTTCTATAGCCTTCAACTGGTCTACTGCAGAAAGAAATGGCAACCTACTGCTGGAAAAAATCTGCCTCGTCAGTCAAGTATCGAAAGATACATGATCGCCTAGGCACATAACTGACTGAAGAGACAGATAAAATTTCACAATTTTCAAAATTTCACACAATGAAAAAGGATTTTAAAAATCTGACACTCACAAGACATATTCTTTTATGTGCCGTGTCCATTCAGGACGTAGTCGATCATGGCCCTCCACATCTTCTAGTCTCTTGTAGGTCTTAATAAGTTCTGTCTTTTTGTTATTTCTCCCAAACCCTGTTCTACCATACATTTGCTCAAGCTGATCAAGTATGTTTACGCGCTTCTTTCCTCTGGGCCTATTTCCCTCAATCTGTCCAGTGAGTATCAGATTTTCCAAGCCATTTCTTCCTTATTACGTGCCCCAGAAATTTCGACTGCCCCTATCAGTATATGTTTCCTTTATGTTTCCATTCTCTCCAAAACCTCGTTGTTTCTCACATGTTCGGTCAATGGTATACTCAGTATATTTCTGTAGAGCCACATCTCTGTTGTATCTTTGAGGAGATTGTCAAGCATTCGTTGCCATTCAAAAAAGAGAGGAAGTGGCAGTGGACCACCTATCTGATGAGCTTGTGTGAATGGATGCCAGAACGGAATGTGAAAGGTATGTTAAACTTCACTAAGAGCTACAAAGGATAAGCAGTAGTGGAGAGTCATAGTCGTCCACGTCCTGAAGAGACACGGTGTTAGAATTAGAAGAAGAATTGAGTAGTTCGACCTGGGTTGTTAAAAGTCCTTAATTAATAATATGTACCTTCTGGCACGGTCTGAACAAACCTTTCCTTTATAAAGAGACAGGATTTTAGTCAAACATACGCATCCACTAAATATAACGTTTATAATAATAAAAATTAGTATTAATATATATTAATATAAATATATATTAACGTATATTAATATATTAATGTAAAATATAAACATAGTTACTAATGAATTCAGTGACATGTTCAGTCCTCTGTAATACGATAAACCAGATCTGGCAGCAAGGCTTCTGATTTGGAGATTGGACATTTCGAAGAATGCGGAACCATCTCTTAATTGCTGTTGTTCCCAGGCCAACCTTGACCCGGGATGGTAGCACTTGTTTGGGTCCCAGCTATGGCAAAATAGTGAATCTCTAAATAAAACAAAAAAATACTATAAAATACATTTTTATAGTAAAAATAACAGCAATACATTTTTAAATGATCAACAATACATATTTATAGTAGAATTAACAACAATATATATTTATAGTAGAAATAATCAACAATTCATATTTATATTAAAACTAGCGGAATTACCCGCGCTTTGCTGCGTGCCACACATTTTTTGTAAGAAAATGATGATTGATTTTAAATCATTGTTATAATTTGTAGAGAAAAATTATGCATTTCATTATTACTCAATGATCTTTCTGGCTTTTCTCCTATATTTTGAATAGGAGTCATTCCTTTGTTCAAATTTAAATATAATTTAAATCAAAGGGAAAAAAATTCCGTATGGAGGGTGCAAAAACGGCTTGATCTGACACCTTTGATATATATTTGATGCAATACTTGATTGAATGAATTGATGAGCAGATTTCAAGATTGATATGACAGTTGAATTGTCCTCAAAAATATGTATTTTAAGACCACTGATTGGTGATTTCTTGTTCAACTTGATGCCCATATTGTCTCATTTTGATCTTGCCGATGTGACCTCTATCTTCTGGATTTCGCCTTCTATATTTTGGATATGAGTCATTCCATTGTTCAAATTTAAATGTAATTTAAATCAAAGGGAAAAAAATTTCAGTGTGGGAATTCATTTTTCATATAATTTTCATTATCCGGGAATTTGAACTCGGCTGGAATATTTCAGTTTCTGCGTCGATATTTCTTGCACATCCTCGGTATTAATTACAGGTTTGAAAAAAAATTCAGCATTACTTATATTGTTTAGTTCATAACAAATTTCCACCCTCAATTTTAGGGACAACACAAATTTTTAATGGGTTAATGTAATTACCTCCACGAGATCGCTAAGAAAAAGAGCATAGCATGATGAAAAAGACCAAACTTGACGAAAACAAAATTTTATCGTCTAAATGTTTGTTATTATTAAGAGGAAAAAATTTTTTGGGGTATTTTTTCCATTTTTAATCGTTCCTAGCACGTCCAAAATTTTCGTTAAAATCTAGTTTTTTTGAGTCATTTGACCATTTTTCCATTTAAAAAAACTGGAAGTCTGACTTTGAAATTTTTTAAATATCATTTATCATTTTTCAAAACTTATTTTAAGAAAATCAGAAATTATAATGTTTATTTAAAATATTTTGAACCAAACTTAACTTAGCTTTTGTGCCAAAAAGATGTAATTTGAAAAATAAAACAAAGCAGGTCATAAACTTTTCGCGTCTCTTGACATTTGATGAATGATATATTTACGAATTCCATGAGGCTAATTTGTTCTACGGAAGGAGAAAAAAGTGAAATAATTTACATTT